CCCTGGATGCCAATCATGATGAGGTCGTCGAGGAGTGCGTGAGCGATCGGATTGTGCCGCAGGGATATCCCGTGATTCTTGGCTGAATTGAGAAATCAAGCCCTGGGACGCCATGGTGTAGACAGTAGCCAAGGGATGCTCGAACGAAGAAAGAATAAGCCAACTGAAATATGCGGCAAGGGTGAAAATACAATTCGACAAGGGTCACAGGCCCATTTTTTGTGTGAGACATGATGTATAGTGACACTGTGGGGTGAATGGCTTAGCCCCAGCCATGGTCGGGACATTGACGTGAAGCTTCTCAAAATATCAAAGTGTGTAAATTGTGAGTGTGTCTCACAGGGTGCTCGGCTTAGCCCCAGCCATTCGATCGAGTGTTCGCAACGAAGAAAAGAATACGCAGATTATAAAAATTGAGAGATAACATCATTGAGATCGCAGGCAGCAGGTCAAACGAATTTTGGCGGAAGAAGTGGCGGTGAATACCGAGATGTCGGGAGAAGCATTGTTGCTCCAAAAGGTCGGTCGGGGCCACTTGGCTCAATAGTGCTCGTCATTGAAGCCAGCACAGGTTTCAAAAATACTCCTCAATGATGTAGTATTTACCAGCGAGATCTGTGAGAGTCATACGCTGAAGTGTAAGACCGAGAGGAGCCTTCGCGATGTTGATCTCGAGCACGGCCTTCACGGTAGGAATAAGAGTTGCCCCGATGATCATGCGTGGAATCGTCCCATGTTGAATTGTTGTCCCAGTAATGACGGCTGCGGTCTGGCATTGCGTGATCCGCGGTCTCATAGTGGGTGGCAGCTGCTCTGGTGTGGGTGGTCGATGGTGGGTTGGAAGGTGCAGGTGTATCGGTGGTAGTAGCTGATGGTGCAGGTGGTGCATGATCAAGTGGTGGGTCTTCTGGAGGTTCGCGTGGTGCCGTGGCAGTTGGTGCATGTGCGTCTTGTGGATTTCGGGTAATCAACCCTTGGAAAACCGAGTGAGTAGAAGCGACATAGCATACTGATGCGCAACTGGAATTCATTGCCGTAGCACCGTCTTTTCCTCTGGCTATGCCTTGTAGAGCGCACAAACGTTGGATTTGGTCGTTTCCTCCAGATTGGGCTCGCATGCATTTTGGGGAGCGACAAATGGCCAGCAGGCCGGATGGATTTTGTCCTTTGCCAATCTTGTAGAGCTGGGAGGTGCAAAGTTTGACTGAATATGCTGGTAAGTCATCGATGTCCGCAATCTCAGAGGACATGCCGAAGAATCCGTAGCACGGGTATTGGGTCGGGATGCCAGCTTCGTTTTTTGTCCAGCTAGCTGGGCGAATGCAGTCTTCAGCAAGAATTTTGGCAACTGATTCCCAACTCGTTTTGTGATAGCTCAGGTAGGTGCCCGCGTGTTCACCACGATAGATAGGTTTTTTGGGTAACCCCGTTGGCACCGTGATGGTCAGCAGGTTCTCCGGCTCCACATAGAAGGCCTGTGTTCTTCTTGCCAGACTTAAGTCAAGTAGTCTTGCTTGTGCGAAGGCCTTGGCAATGTTCATGACAGTGGCCTGACTGGCTTTGATGAAAATGAGGTCATTGTTCATGGTACGATAGGGTTTGGCCAACTGATTGAACATCTCATCAACGAAATTGTTGAAGAGGATTTTGGTGGGCTGGTCAAGTTCAGTACGAAGTGATACTATATGATCACGGTCCAGTTCTGTCAGGCATCGTACTCGTTGTGGGTCTTCAGCAGCCGAAAGAAGTTCGTCAATTTCGATGTCATTTTTGTCGAACTGTGAGATTGAAAATGCTTCCGCTGCTGCCTCCGAGGTTTCGCTGTCGCCATCAGGTAGACGAAAAGCCACGGCTCCCAGTGGGGCGGTTGCAGGTGCCGGTGGATGTGAAGGTGGGTCAGAAGGTGGTGGTCCAGGAGGTGATCTGGGGCGATGTGTGCCACGGCGATGAGTCTCTGGATAATCGTTGTTGTTCCAATTGCCCCAGGAATCATCAAAGTCCGGTGTGGGAATGAAAGCAGGATCCGAAGGACGTGGTGCTGGTCTCAATACAATTTCATGGCTTCGATGGTGACGACGGGGAGTTCGTGAGCGTGGTGTAGGATGTGATCGGTGTCGTCGATGAGGTAGTGGTGAGCGTCGTCGATAAGGGGAAGGTGTTCTGCGATCCTTGGGATGATTGGTGGTGGATCTGTGCCGAGGAAGAGGAGACCGAGGTCGTTCTGGACGGTGACGTGAAGGTTGTCGGCGATGGGCTAGTGCAGGCGATCGAAGGGAACGTGATCTTCTTGTCGTCCTGGATCTGGGTCTTCGCGGTGGTGATGTCGAAGGAATAGGAATGGGTGCTGGTGGAGTCTCTGAAATAGTGTGGTCCGGAGCGGTAGGCTCAATGGGTCTGGCTTTCGGGGCAGGTGGAGGCAAAGGCGTTGGTGGCGTCGCAGCGGGCAATGGCGGTGGAGGTGCGGGGCCAGTCGGTGGTCTGTCTTGTTGAAGAAGCTGTTGACGTTGTTCTTGAAGACGTTGGGAGTCAAGGATCATCTGCTGTTGGGCTTGGATAAGACGAACAGATTCCGCAAGCTGTTGAGTCGTAGAGCCCAATGTTGCCAAGTCCGGTTGAATTGAAGGTGGAGGTGTAGTCACTGGGGCTGAAGGAGCATCAGTTGATGGGGTCGATGGAGCTTTCGGAGCTGAGCGGCGTGTTTTGTCGGGTTTCTTCTCTGATCGAACCTTTGGGGCTGCTTTGACTGCCGTATGTTGAGGGGCAGCTGGAGGAACTGTTGATGTCGTGGTAGCCACTGCTGGAGGTTGAAGAACTCGAGGTGGGTAAGGTGATCCTGGTAGAGGTATGGGTGGTGTGGTCAGTGTCTGAGCTGGAGCCGGAGCGGTTGGCCATGTCGTTGGGAAAGCCGGTGCCGTTGGAGTTGCAAAAGCTGGTGAAGCGGAATGGAAGGTAGTTGTGTCGGGGCCCAATGGTTGAGGTGTAGTAGGGACCAGGTGTGGGGCTGGTACTGCATGAGGGGCCGTTGCAAGGGAAGTGAATGACGGTGGCGGCATAGTGGAAGCTGTCGGCCGGGGCGAAGTCGAAGAAGGCCACGTAGGATGTAATGCCGAAGGTTGTCCAAACAAATGTTCAACTGGCGTTGGTGTGGTTCCGGGCATGTGAGGTGGATTGATCGAATACTGTTGTGGTTCAATAGGGTATGCAGGTTGAGGAGTTGAGGTCGGAGGTGGTGCTGTCGTTGGCCATGTCATAGTTGGCCTGGGTGTAGATGCAATAGAAGCTGATTGCGGTGGCCACGTCGAAGATGGAGTCGCAGGCTGCGGCGGGGTAGGCCATGACGTCGGAGGAGTAGTCCACGGGTACATCGCTCAGGTAGAGAAAAACTACCATGGAAAGTCACACAACAGGATTCACAACAGGATTCAGTTCCTAAACCTAAAGGTCGTGCGTTGTGCCAATCCAGGCCCGTGTTCCAGTCAGCCACAAGGGCATAAAACGGCTTTCAAGTTCCAACGAATTAGGTGCACAATATGTTTAACCTCACCAGACAACCAAAAGAAAGAGACCACACCTGGAAGGCGTGAACCTGCCTTTATTCCTTGTCATGCCATGAAGTCAGGTGAGTTTCGAAAATAGCTGCTAAAAACGGAGGTTTCAGGCTGTTCAGAGCAGCTTCACTTGAAAGAGCGCAGATCACTGGGATCCCTGGGACATCCGGAGCAGCAGGAGATCTCAAAATGGCTGAAAAACAGCAAGGCCATCTGTTGCACTTTACTTAAATGAATTACTAGTTCAAAAGTGTAAATTCAGAATTCAGGTCAGTCGACATTGACCCCAACTGGGGTTGCCTCAAATGGCCCTATGGCACCATGTCGGAGTCACCATAGGAATCACACTAGACAAGAATGGATCATTATATGATCCGGCAGGAACTGAATCCTGAAACGTGCAAACCAGCCTAGACCATTTGTTTTACGTTAGAGACTCTTGTAGTACTTCTCGAAACCGAAGTAGAACATCCAATATTGTCCAACAGAGTTCAAACCAGATTCCAACAATACATCAGCGACATGACAAGGCAAAATAATCAAAATACAATCGGCGACGTGGCTCGGCGAAATAATCACAAATACTGTCGGCGACATGGTTTCGGCGAAAATACAGGTTGTGGCAACCGTGGAGAAATAAAATCATGGTGTTGGGGTACTTGGCTTAGCCCCTCGCCATTCACACGCAATGATTGCAAAATAATGAATACGACAGCTTGTTCAACAGTTCAAAAAATCGCAGGTACGTTTTCACCCCCATGCTGTCTGGTCTTCGTTGGCCAGGACAGACAGTCATGGGTTCCTGGCCCCCTGCATAAACAAAATTAACATGCCGAAGTTTTACATCTTTA